AATGGTTTCTCTCTCTCTGTGTGCATGTTCATACTTTCACTGTGTTAGTCATTTGTTGCTTTTGCCTGTCTGCTAAGCTCAAAGCCTGGCTTGACGGAGAAACCAGGAGAACAGCTGGGCATATTTACGACAGTGCACTTTTACTTTCGCCCTCTGGGGGGAGCCTCGCTGGAAAATCAACACCGGTTGCATAGTATACCTTTAAAGTCCGAATTCTGAGAAACAGAAGCCATAATTCTGAGATTGAAGTCAGAATTTTGAGGAAAAAACATCAGAATTCTGAGATTAAAGTCAGAATTATGAGATTAAAGTCAGAATTCTGAGATTAAAGTCAGAATAATGAGATTAAAGTCAGAATTTTGAGGAACAAACGTCAGAATTGTGAGATTAAAGTTAGAATTTTGAGGGGAAAAAAGAATTCTGCCCAATTCCTTAATTTTCCAATTTCTTACTGGCCCTCCCAAACAACTCACATCTTTCTCAGTGAAGCAGAGAGTCCTTCACGGTGACATCTACATTAAGATCCAAAATTCTGAGATTCTGACTTTTTCCAATATCAAACTGAAATAAAATTTAAAAACCAACTTTTTTATTTCCATTGGCCCTAATCGTCTTCCGTAGATATCACCTAGGTGACTCTTATCTGATCTAGTGATTTCCAGAAAGAATCACCTACACTAAATTTCATTGATATGGATCTAGATTAGATTAGATTAGATTAGATGAGCTTTATTGATCTCACAGCGGAGAAATTCACATTATTCAGTGTTAGTCTACATTTAAATTCTCCCTAAAATACAGGTTATGACGTAAAAAGAAACAGATGGGGGCATTTAACTTTGGTCACTGTTGCAGGAACTGTTATGCAGAGTTTTCCCTTTATAGGAGGGATGTACAGGAAGCCGGTTAGATTTATAACAAAAAGAAAGGTTAATGATAAATGGTGTATAGGTTATAACTCTGATATGATCGAGAATCGAGAAGGAAGTGAGAAATAAACTGTTTTATGACGCTGAAGAACTGACATGTTTAAAGTCATTAAAAAAAACCGTTTAGTTGAGTATTTGACCTGTTTAAAGCCAGAGTCTGTACCTTATCCATGAGCTTCCAGCATTTCTCCACCATTTTCTTATCGACCACAGCGGGCTGATGGGGCTGCAGAGGCTGCTGGTGGGGCTGAAAGGCGTCCTTCATCAAGCCGATGAGCCCGGCGCCCCTCCTCGGATTTCCTGCCATGGATTCGCTGGATGGCCGGGGGAGGGGGGGTGTTAGCCCCACGGCAGGGGTTCACAACCTAGGAGGGATGAAGGGGGGGGGGATCCCGATAAAGCAGCCGCTGTGCTACCGCCCTGTCCGCTCGGAACAGTAGGGGCGGTTTGTCATGCAGAGGCTGTCCGGGAGCAGAACAAAAAGCCTGTTGTAGCTACCAGTCAGCGGACCCGAAGCAGCGAGCTAATGGCTATAGCCGCTTTTAAAGAAGCCTCCGCTCCGGGGCTGAGCCGCAGACATAGCCGCTGAGTTTCTGTTCCTGAAAAGCCCAGAAAAGCGACCCTGACTCCTCCTGGTGACGGCGGGCGAAACCTCCCTGAGATGAGCCGGCTTTCAGCGGAGCTGGCTGTTAAAAACCACCGAGACACCGACAAACAGGGCTGAGCAGCAGCTACAGTAAACACGGATGTCCGGCTGCACTTTCAAAATAAAAGCACGGTCAACAAGCACGCGACAATTAAAAAAATTAATAGACACAAACTATTTGATACGGAAGTGTACGGAAGAGGATTAGGGCCACTGGAAAAAAAAAGTTAACTGAGTTTTACATATTATTTCTACGGAAGAGGATTATACGGAAGAATTTGGGAAAAAAAAAAAAAAAAAAATATATATATATATATATATATATATATATATATATATATATATATACACTATTTATCAGACTATATTGTCCCAGAATTTAGAATTTCTTTTTTTTTTATAAAATATTAAATCTGATAAACGACCAATCACATTCACTTTATTCACTCGTGTAAAGTGTGACTTCAGTCTTAGAATTCAACCTTCAACTAATTACTAATTTAATTTATGAGCCAAAAAATGCAGCCACATTCTTAAAATGAAAAAGCATTTCTGGAAATGCTTTTTCATTTTAAATATGGTAACAATTTGCTTCCATATTTCAGGGCCGCTGTAAGAAGAACATTTAAGAGACATGATTTGGCTCATCCTTGCAGCCCAACTGGAAAAATACTGAATATTGCAACCGTTACATCCTTGGGGCTAACCTCTTGAAAGATTTGGTTTATAGCCTTGTACACATCATCCCAAAAGTTTTGCAATTTGGGACATGTGTGTTGTTTCTGCAACACAAACTTGGAACTTTAGGATGCATCTTATCTACTATGTCCGGCATTTTAATGGGTATTTAAAGACATTTCAATTAGTGGAAAAAATTGCAGGGGGAATATAGAAAAAAAAAAATTCTAATCAACTTTTGCGACCCCCATTAGGGATGGGTATTCTCACCCAACTCCTGAATCGATTAGATTTTGATTCAAACAGTTCTAAATCGATTAATTTCGATTCGATCTGTTTTTACAATAATGAAAGTGGTTCAACTGTGTTTCAAGATACTCATGTATTTTATTTTTTCGTGTCACCTTAAACACAAAGTGCAAACTTGTAAATCAGTTTAAACTTGAGATGTGAACAAAACTGTCTCATAAGTACAAACTTGTTTGTGAAAAGTGAAAAAGTGAAGCCTCACATGCATGAGCGGCATTATCTCCACTGCACAAACCATATTTGCAGCGTTGTCTGTAACAACTAGAGGGTGATTTCTGCTCAGCCCCCATTCGTTAATGTCTTCAGTCAACCTATTGGCTATATTTGCAGCTGTCTGGCTTGAAATGATCTTGAGTGCATCTTCCCTGCTCATTTGAATGTGAACGTCACGCATCTTAAAACTAATCGATCGCATTCCCTAGACATCGATTTTGCAAAAATGTAAAGAAATCGATTCAAAATCAATTAAATCTGTGTTTTTAAACAGCCCTAACCCCCCGTGCAGTACTTCTGTCGATCCCCTAGGGGTCGTGGACCCCTGTTAAAGAACTTCGCTGTATAATGATCCCACTATAAAAAAACTAAATAATGTCATATGTGGATGCACTGTATATACTGTATATATCCCATGCACCTTCTTCTTCTTTCAGTATTTGAGCTGATGAGTAAATTTCTCCACTGTTAGATCAATAAAGTCAATCAATCAATCAATCTTGTGCTTTAATCAGCAATTATTTAATTATTGAGGTTCAAGACACGACGACTGCGGTACTGATTTGAAGGAACCAACAGTTTCTGCACATAACTACCAGTATTGGACAGGCCCCCATCCAGCACTAAAATGGTAGCATAGGTATCGGCGAGTACCAACTAATAAAGGGAAACGATACCATTTTCAAAAGTTTATTCAACTATTGTCACCTATTGTAGGTAGTCAATAACAATTTCTACTGGATTCACTTTGTATTCGTCTTTTTCCTGCATCACAAAGGCAGGCAGCAGCTTGACAAAGTCATGATGGCAACTATTTTACATTCAAGTAGTCTGCAGTTCTTCATATATATAGACACACATCAATTTCAAACAGATGGTATCTGTATGGGCCAACACTACACAGCCAGGTATCTGGTATAAGGGTAAAAAAAATGGCATCAGCGCAACAATAATATCCACATTTCGGGAGATTGTTGAGCAGCTAATGAGGAGCCCAGTGGCTTATTCTTCAGAGCAAACCCACATTTAACAGGAGGGATGTGTTATAAATTTTTGTTTTATACTCCGTTTGTGTTTCATGGGTTGTGTACTAATGAACTATTATGATGTATAATGTGTGATTCATCGTTTATTAACTCTTGCTAAAGATCGTTCCAGATAAAGGTCATGCAACAGACGGGTTGTGAAAGAGACCTGTACATCCTGTGTTTTGATAAGGCGCTTTCAAATAAAATGTATTATTATTATTATTATTATTATCCTCCATCATATGTTTCTTCTAAACATGTGTTCTTGGAACAATTCAATTGTAAAATAACCACATGCTTTGTTTTAACATATGTGCTGAGGTTTAAAGTAAGATAATTTTGTTTCCCTTTCCCTTTAGTTAAACCTCAGCTTGTGTAATTAGGGACATCCCCTGACTTTAATAAATAGCGAGGAGAAAGCTGAAGACCGGCAGAGTGGGTTGGAGATTTGTAAACTCCGCAGTCTCTTCCTACTCTCTTCGCGAGTAACTAAATTAATTGTCTCTGTGCCTTCTTTCTTTCCCTGTATGTATGTATGATGTTTTAGGTGCTTAGACCTGACAGGATGTTTCTCCCTTCCAGCCTGGGAACCTCTGCATTAAGACAGAGCGGTAAACAGGGATGTCTGGTTTCCCTCCTGAAGCTGTGCACCATGTTTTAGTCAGGAAATAAATGGATAGTTTCTTAACAAGTGAAACACCTGTCAGGATGCTGACTATAAACTACGAGAGATTCTATAACAGAGCTCTCTCATAGAGTATTTAATTTGATTGTAATAGATAACCAAGGAGATGCCTGCGTTTAAGAACCAATAGTCAACAGAAGTATCACTGCAAATTCATTGCAATCAATTCACAAAAACTTAATATAGTAAATATGTATTTTTATTTTCAAATTTCTTTTTTAAAAATAATTTCATGTATCTAAAATGTTCAAACTAGAAACTAATAGTCATCTTATATTGGATTGTATCAACAGAGCATTCAAATTATTTCTCAATTTATTTACCATAATTCTTAGAAAGATTTATGGAATAACTTGTCCGTTTCACCCCCCCCCCCCCAAAAGATTATTTGAGGATAGAAACTTAGTAATCTAAAAGTATTAGTTTAGTTTCAGAGCTGAGAAAAAAGGTGCAGATATTATAAGATTTTTTTTCTTCTTTCTGCTGCCTTTCATTTCATTTTGTTTTAAAATGTTTAAATACATATGTAGTATGTCTGTGTGTATATATGTATGTAATGTATACAGATGGATATGTAGGTATGTATGGATGGAGGTCTATTTTTTATTTTTTAGTATATCAAAAATTTGATAGGCTGTTTTTTTTGTATTCAATGAAATGAATGAATAAATAAAATTATAAAAAAAAAATAAAATAAAATAAAAAATAAAAAAAATATTAATAGAAAATATTTATTATAATGCATAAAATTCTAGAAATCTCTAGTTTACGAATTGCTTTACAGAAATTGATGCATCAATCCAGAGGTAGACTAAAGATGCTCTATCGCCATCTGGTGGAATAGCAATAATTTTATGGTAGGATAATGTTTTCCATCTCCATCATAAATCAAAAGAAAATAATCTATTTTAGGAAAACAGAATAAATAAACAAAAAAATGCTGTTATAGTAAGTTAGCAGTGTTACATTATTCTTCACAATAGTTTTAGGAAGATTAAAGATTGTTTGCCTTGCTTGGGCAGTGGGAGCAGTAAAAAATGGCAAGAATTCACTTTTGTGCACTTAATTAAAGTTCAAAAGATGTGGAGCTTTTGCTGTATGGTGAGTTTATACTGGAGTTCCTTTAAAAGTCGAAGCAATATTCAGCAGCTCGGCTCCCAGCTTCGCCTGCTGCCCTGCGGGCAGAAACTCTGCAGAGAGCTCTCTGTATGTGCTGCAGACTCGGCGCTCCTGAATGTCCTCCCTGTGAATGGCGTGTTTCCATCTGTGCCTGGCCTCACCGTATAACACCACCAAACACCTCCGAGGAAGCCGTACGGCCACGCGGACTTCCCCCGTCAGCCCCTGCTCTGGCAGGCCCTGTTCCAGAGACATGGTGAGCACGGTATCTGATAACATGTTGAGCGTGACCAGCCTTTCCCCCCACAGCCAGGAGTCATCTAGGTGCGGGTCAATGGCGGAGCCTCGCTGAGGGTGATAGTCCAGGTTGCACTGCTCCACCGGTTGGAAATCCTCTAAGTTTGGCACTTGTTGCATCCGCAGCACCAGTTTCTGGCTCAAAGCAGGGAGTCCATTAAAGCTCGCTACACGTACTTTCCTTTTCTTGAAGTTCACCTTTGGACCATAGTCCTGTAATCATACAAGAAATTGACAGATTTCATTAAAAATCAACAGATTTACAGATTTGATATAAAAAAAACATTGAGCATAACCTGTTTCCTTCGACCGGACTGCGACGGATTCCAGACATCCTGATCCATGTGGCCGACCAGCTCCTTCTCCTCCTCCTCAGTTATGAAGTCCTCCCACAGGAAGACACCAGGAAAAGGAAACGATGCACCTTCTCCATCTTTGCACACAGCAATTCTTTGCTCAAGATTGTAGATGAAATGGTGCACCGTCTTCTTCAAAAAAAAACCAAACAACAATAAATAACCTAAAGCTGATGCATTCCTTCTGATTCTGGATCTGATTCTGATCATAATCGGGCCAATTTAGATATCTGATGAAATACTGCTGTTACAGCAGATAATTCACATTTAACAAAATTATGTATTTTTCACACCTTATGGCTTGAAATATTTTTATTTTAGGGTGCAATATAGTCAACAATATAGATGCAAAACAGGCACATAAATCATTCTTTCTCCTTAAATTAAGGTTTCACAAACAGCTTCGACATTTAGTAATATTTGTGTAGAATAATCTAGTCTGGGTAACCAGGTTTAGGCGGAATAAGGAAACTTAAGGTGACTTTTTTCCCCTAATTCTGACTTTAATCTTAGAATTCTGACTGAATTTTGACAGCTAACAAACATGTTGGCATCAAGCCGTAGCCATGTCTGTTTTAGAGACTACTCTAGCTCTCTTGTTTTAATCACCTTCTGCTCTTCGATAAATGAAATAGCATCACGAGGGACCCCTCAGGCACGTAAAAATCAATCAATCTCTTTATTTAGACACAATTATGGTCCATAAACAGACTAAAACTAGAACAATAATAAAAAAAGAGAAAAATATAAAAAAAATATATATATATATATATAATAAAATAATCAATCACTGACATATAAAAGTCGCCTAATTCCATAATTTTCCTCCAATGTGTTCCTTTTCCTCCCAAACAACTCAGATCTTTGTCAGTGAAGCTGAGTGCTCCCACATCTCTTCCTTCATGGTGCCCATCTACATTAAGATCCAAAATTCTGATATTAAAGTCAGATTTCTGAGAAAAAAAAAGTCCGAATTTTCCATATTAAGCTGAAATAATATTTAAAAATCTGTTTAGTTCCTTTTTTTTCAGTGGCCCTAATCCTCTTCCATATTTATTTTTAAGCATTAACACTTTTGTTAGAAAGGCACTGTTGGTGTCTGTGAATGTTGTCTGTTTTAAGGAAGTTTATGTAAACATTTATTTGCCAGCTAAATAATCCTAGTGTTGACAAACATTAAATATTGATCAGTAAGATTTACACCTATATTGGAAACATTGGTATCATTGGCTCCTAAAAGATTAGGAGTGTTTTTAAATTTATTTTCTCTTTCATTCTTTCACTTTTATTCTTCTGATGTTTTTCTGTTGATCTGGACTACTAGTCTGTAATAAATCTATTTATGTTTACAGGTAACAATGCTCAACTTTTGTTGTTTTGAACCTTAAAGAAAACCTTAAATCATCTCTCGGTGAATTAAAATGCATCAGTAAAACTATTAGATAAAAAAATACCCATAGATCCACTTAAAAGGAAAATTAGTAACGCTCTAAAACAGAAACTACACACTTTGTAGCTCGGTAATGCTATTTTTGGTCAATGAAGCAATGTCCTAAGAAGGCTTCCGTAGTTACTTTTCAAAGATACGTCTATAATAATACGCTTATATAGGAGATGTTTAGGTACCTCAGGCTTGAATGTATCAGGCTGAGTTTCTCCCTTAGACTTTTCGCAAATAAGACACCGCCGTATGCCTTTACAGCCGCATGGAGAAACATCGCTGCTGTCAAGAGCCATCTTCAAACCGCTGCTGCTTCTTCTTCTTTGATTAGAAACTGAACATTCACAGAAATACTGACCGCGCGCCCCCTAATGGAAGAAAGCAGTATTGTTTATTAAGCTTGTAATATTTTAGAATAGAATAGAATAGAATAAAATAGAATATTATAGAATAGAATATTGTAGAATAGAATATTGTAGTTTAGAGTAGGATAGAATAGAATAGAAAATCCCTTTATTGTCCCACAATGGGGAAATTTTGGTGTTTACAGCAGCAAAAAAATTATAGAAAAAAATGTCACACAAACGTGGACCATAGAACGTGTAAAAGAATAACATAATAGTGAAGAATTTTAAGGTAACAATAAAATACCGTACTGTAAAGTGTTTTAACAATATAAAAAAAACTGTGCAGCTGGAAAATGAATAACCAATATGCAGCTATTGGCATTTTTACAGTAATGGATATAAGAAAATAGGAGCAACAGAGATGTGCAAAATGACAGCAGCATGTTATTTAACTGACTAAGATAGAAACTGTGCAAAATCAGCAATATGAATTAAAATAAACAGAAATGATAATAACTAAAATTAATACCCCTCTAAATTCCAAGTTCTATGTTTTGTTCTAAATTGGTTTCATGCAAGAGCTAAAAGAAAATAGACGAATAAAATTGGGAATTTTGAAATTGAAAATAATTAATAAAGTTAAAAAAGTTATGATTAAATTGGGGTACCTTGAAATCTTCTATATTGTCTTAAACAAAACAATGCTCTAAAAGAATCCTATAAAATATTATTAATCCAAAAACTTCACACAATGTTATGCATAGTTTTGGAAAAGGTCAAGAAAAAAATTTCCTGGGATTCAAGGGGGGTAATATAGATAGATTATGAGCTCTTTATTTTATTTATTTATTTATTTTTTTTAATCACAAGCAGCCGCGGACATGCCTGGTCTAGTCAAAATTAATTAAATGAAATTACTTTTTTTCTTTACAGCAGTGTGTCCACATTTTATTTTGTGAGACACTTTTGAATACTTAAAAATACTCAGCTATACACACCTATCATGTTTAAAGTCCTTTTGCAAGGCAACCATGCTACTAATATGAAGGTTATTTAGTTTTAAAACTATTTGGGCATTGTAAGTGTGAATTTGAAGTTGTACAGAGAGCTACAGTCTAAGTTTTGTATTTATAGAATTAAAAAAAATCACAAAGTACAATTTTTTTGTGTTTCAAAAGTTAAAATAAAGGCGTAAAAAAAGTTAAGTTGAATTTGTGACTCAGCAGCAGCAGATTCATGGAGTTGTATTCATTGATTTGTATTTGTGTGAAGGAAAAAAAATTGTATTCTTTTAAAGATTTTAATACAAGTGTTTGAATTTGTTTTGCACTATTTGTTTTAGATCAACCATAGCAAAACTGAACAGAAGACATTTTTGATGTGCAACTCACAGAACACAATTCTTGTACTTGTACTTGAATTTGAAAGGTGTACCTTTCTTTTGTAATTGTCACAGATGAAAAAAAATACAATTACTTAGACATAGACTTAGACAGATTTATTTGTCATTTTGTAAAAATGACATTTTGTCATTTTATAAAAATGTAAGCTGTAGAACAGCTTACATTTTTAAAGTGCAGCCTTGAAAAAAGTAATAAATACATAAAAACATTAATATAAAAATATCTAACATTAATTTTTTTTTTTTTTTTTTTACAAAACACCAAAGTTACAGTGCACTAATAGTTTTGCAACAATAGCTCTGAACCATTTGGAGAAAAAACTGAGAATATAAGAGGTATTTGATGCGCAACTTGTAAAAATAATACTACTTTATAGTACTTTATAGTACTTGTACTTTAAAATTTTAACGGGTGTAAAAAAATTGTACTTGTGAATTTTATTTTCTTTCTAAAAATACAAAACTAAGACTCTACTGTTTCAAATTCACACTTGCAATGCACAAATAGTTTTGAAACAAAATAAGCTAACCTTTATTTACCAACGGCACAGTTGTTTCTGCCGCTCCTTACAGACAAAACTGAGGGATTACCGATGTCCTTCGTGGCCACGCCCACCGGATGTAGACGCGCTGCCCCGGGAAAATTCCACTTCCGTAGTGGGTTGTTAATCGAAGCCGTGTCCAGAGTTTGTAAGTAAATATTTTCGTAAATATTTGAAATAATTGAAAAATAAGGAACTCAGGTGTTACTAAACGGTAACAGCATGAAGCACAGCTGTAGGTTTATTTACTCGCCATATGTATGAGAAGTTAGCATGAGTTTCAGCAAACTTTGCTTCCAACGAAGTAAAATATATGTTTTAACTCAAGACTTAGAGGTTAAATTTTAGTTTTTTAATCATTCCTTTATTGGCGTTATCCCTCTATTCCAATTAAAGCATAGATCAAAGTGGATGGAGGTGTGATGGTACCAGTAGCCTGATGGTTTTAGATCTATGGTCTCTTTTTTGTTGCTGTAACAGCAGCACAGATTGTCCCATTAAACTTTAAAAAGCGACTTATTATTGTCAGATGTTTGTTAGCTATTCTGTGTTGCAGAATTAATGCTTTTTCTTTCTAAAACTATAATTGAAGTAATCACTAAATTGGATATTTTGAATTAATATATTTTCATCTTTTACAGTTAGCCTCATTCAGTTTGAAAGATTTAATTAATCCATATTTATACATTTTGAACAGAGTGTGACCTCTTGAAGGGGATTTATTGCTAATCAAATCGTTTCGCAGTTTTTTTTAAATGAATAAATTTAGAAATCTTGTATCCCCTCCTCTTTAGGCAATTAAATTCAGTTTATTTCTATTGCGCCAATTCACATCATGTCATCTCAAGACACTTTAGTTCACCAGATAATCCAGTCAAATTGATTCAAAGTTTTCTATCGAAGGAAAACCAGTGGATTGCATTGACTTGAAGGCAATCCCTCACACTAAGCATGCTTGTAGCGACAGTGGAGAGGAAAAACACCCTTTTAACAGGAAGAAACCTCCAGCAGAACCAGGCTCAGTGTGAGCGGCCATCTGCTAAGGCCCACTGGGGTTCAAGGAGACAGAAACAGAAATAAAAAAAGCAGCTGTAAACTAGCTCCACAGGCGGCCCCGTCAAGGAAACACACAGCCAGGCAGAGGAGCACTGAGCCAGCTCCGATATCAGAGGATGAAGAGAGCACATCCAGTTAGTCACAGTCAGAGAAACAGGACCACACAGGAAAAATAAGGCAGATCTCCAACATCTAGAAACAAAGGTGTTGATGGCAGCAGCACAGCTGATATTTCTCTCCAGGATGGAGTCACAGCCAAACAGGAACAGACCAGATGAAGCAACTATGAGAAAAAGCTGAGAGAGCAGAACGTTAGTCATTGAACTAACAGATTCTGCAGAGAGGGAGAATAGAGATAGAATGAAGCAGAATGATATTTAAAAGGGGTCCCTATGTCCTC